TGTTAAATAAAGTGAATCATACGATTCACTATTCATTATTTTAGCAAAAGATTCACGATTCGATTCAAGATTTGATAATAATGCCTGAGATGAGAAAAATGAAAATTAATTACTAATATTATTTCATTATTATTATTTTAGCTTTTAATTATTATTATTTTAGCTATTGATTTATTATTATTTTAGCTACTGATTTATTATTATTGTCAATGGCAGAATTCAACGTGTAAAAGGATAATTACAGGCACTCCATTGAGTTATTATTTTTATGTTTTTCTATTGACTGATTATTAATGTCAATGTCAGAATTGAATTCAGTTAATGACGGAATTCACAAAGGAGTTGAACGTTAAAAGGGTAGTGGAGCGTACAGGAACTTCATTGAGGACTTACACGTTGAATTGGGAGAGACCTTCTCACACAATATTCCTATACGTCCCGCTCAGCAAAATCCACCCACTCGATGGTTCAACATCATACTGCGAACCAACAATCATTGGATCAGGCTGTGGATTCGACGGGACAACCTTTACTTGGACGCCTACCAAATGGAGTTTTTGAGGAATGGTTGGAGTTTGGGTGTACTTCTACTTCTCCACATCTAATTCCCGAATCCACTTTTTTGGGTTATGATGGTAGTTATAATGTCCTGTAGTGTATTTTCAGACAAGGTATGAGTGACATAGCCCTTGGCCTGACTGCACACACTAATGTCGTAAATGATCTGGCTACCTCCACGATCACCTTCGCAAATTGCGCGAGGTCACTTATTATCGTGATTCAAATGATCTGTGAATCGATTAGATTCAGTCGTATCCCCAATCTTCTCGCTGCCATATTCAGCAGTAGTAGTTCTTCGCCACCCCCTGATTGGATGCTGGTACTAGTGCGTAGCTACGGAGACTTCTTTGCCGCATTCTCGCGAGGCAATGCTAATCCCAATAATTTCTTCCGACTTCCGTAACCCAATGATATGAATATTGTGTCAGTTCTGGACGTGATTTATATAGTTGACATTTTGCTCAAGAGTGTCTGCGTATCATAATCATCAAATTCCAAATCCTAAACCCTAAGGATTTAGAGTTTGGGTGTTAGGGTTTGGGTTTAGGATTGGGGTTTTGGAGTTTAGGTTTGAGGGTCTAGGGTTGAGGGTCGGGGGTTGGTGTTTAGGGTTTAGGGTTTTGGGTTTAAGGTAGGGTTTACAAGGTTAGGGTAGGGTTTACGGTTTGGTGTCAGGGGTTGGGGTTTGTGGTTCTAGGGTTTAGTGTTTCGTGGTTTAGGATTTATGATTTAGGGTTAGGGTTTTAGGAGTTTAGGGCTTGTGGTTTTCGGGTTTAGGGTTTGGGATTAGGGGCTAGGGGTTAGGGTTTATCGTTTAGGATTTAGGGGGTTAGGTTGGGGTTTGGGGTTCGAGTTGGGGGTTTCGAGGTTGGGGTCGGGGTCGAGGTTTGGGGTTTTAGGTTTGGGGTTTTAGGTTTGGGTTTTGGGTTTAGCGTCTAGGGGTTAGGGTTTATCGTTTAGGATTTAGGGGGTTAGGTTGGGGTTTGGGGTTCGGGTTGGGGGTTTCGAGGTTGGGGTCGGGGTCGAGGTTTGGGGTTTTAGGTTTGGGGTTTTAGGTTTGGGTTTTGGGTTTAGCGTTTAGGGGTTAGGGTTTAGGGTTAGGAGTTGAGGGTTAGGGTTGGAGGGTTTAGGGTTTTAGGTTTTGGGTTCTTAAGGGATTAGGATTTAGGGTTTTTAGGGGTTTAGGGTTTGTGGTTTTGGGGTTTGGATTTTGGGCTTCGGGTTTAAGGGTTTTGAAACCCTAAATCCTAAACCCCAAACCCTAATCCTAACTCCTAAACCCTAAACCGTAAAACCTTAACTCCCAACCCCAACCCCCAACGCCTAACCCCCTAACCCTAAACCTTAACTCGTAACCGCTAAACCCTAAACCCTAAACCCCTAACCCAAACATGAAACCCAAATACCCCTAAACCCCTATACCCCTAAACCCAAACACCAAACCCCAAACCCTAATTCCTAAACTCTAAACCTCAAAATTTAAACCCTAACCCCTAAACGCCTAACCCTGAACCCCTAACCGCTAACCCTAACCCCTAATCCTAAACCCTAATCCCTAAAAACCCCCTAAATCCAAACCCCAAACCCTAATCCCTAAACTCTAAACCTCAAACTTTAACCCCTAAACGCCTAACCCTGAACCCCTAACCGCTAACCCTAACCCCTAATCCTAAACCCTAATCCCTAAAAACCCAAAACCACAAATCCCAAACCGAAGACCCTAAACCCCCAAACCCTAAAAGCTAAACCCCGAAACCCCAAAACCCCAAATCCCATAACCCTAAAGCCCAAATCCCAAACCCTAAACTCTACCCTAACGCCTAATCCCTAAATTGCTAATCCCTAACCCCTAGACCCTAACCCTAAACCCTGCACCTTAACTCCAAACCCTAAACCCTAAAAAATCCTCAACCCAAAACCAAAGCCCAAAACCCAAAAACCCCAAAACCCCAAACCCTAAGTCCCAAACCCTAAACCCTAAATTTTAAACCCCCAAACCCTAAAAGCTAAATCTCGAACACTGAACCCCGAAACCGCGAAACACAAAAACCCCAAACCCTAATCCCTAAACCTTAAACCCTAAACCATAAACCTTAAACCCCAAACTCGAAAATCTCTTCACCCCAAACCCCAAAGCCAAAACCCTAAACCATAAACCCTACCTAACCTCCTAAACCCTACCCTAAACCCTAACCCCTAACCCTCTAACCTCAAACCTTGAAATCCCCGACCCCAACCCCAACCCCAACCCCCAAACCCTAAACCCACCTTGACCCTCAACCTTAGACCCTAGATCCTCAACCTCAAATCCTAAATCCCAAAACCAAACCCCTAACACCTAACCCCCAACCCCTAACTCTAAACCGAACACCTAAATCCCAAATCCCAACACCCAAATCCTAAAACCCCAAACCCTAAACCCCTAAAACGTTAAAACCCTAAACAATACCTCTAAACCCCAAACCCCTAACTCCATACCCTTACCCTCCAGCCCCTAACCCCCTAACCCCAAAACCCTAAACCCTAAAACCTTAGGGTTTAGGCTTACGGTTTGGGGTTTAGGATTTGATGATGATGATGCGCGGACACTCTTGAGCAATATGTCAAGTACGGTAACCGCGTCCAGAGCGGACACGATATTCATATCATTGGGTTGCAGAAGTCGGAAGAAATTATTGGGATCAACATCGGCTCGCAACAATGCGGCAAAGAGGTCTCCGTAGCTACGCACTAGTGCTAGCATCCAATTAGGGAATGATGAAGAACTACTACTACTGAATGTGACAGCGAGAAGGTTGGAGATACGAGTGAATGTAATCGATTTGCAAAACATTTGAATCACGATGATCAGTGACCTCATGCGATCTGCGTAGGAGATCGTTGAGGTAGCCAGATCATTTACGGCATTAGTGAGTGCAGTCGGGCCAAGGGCTATGTTATTCATACCTTGTCCGGAAACACGTTCCAAGGCATTGTAGCCGCCATCGTAACCCAAGAAACTAGATTTTGGAATTAGATGTAGAGAAGTAGGAAACGTATCCCCGAACTCCAACCACTCCTCAAAATTCTCCAATTAGTAGGCGTCCAAGTAAAGGTTGTCCTGTCGATTCCTCAGCCTGATCTAATGATTGTTGGTTCGTAGTATGATGTTGAACCATCGAGTGGGTGGATTTTGCTGAGCAGGAAGTACGGGAATATTGTGTGAAAAGGTCTCTCCCAATTCAACGTGCAAGTCCTCAATGAAGTTCCTGTAAGCTCCACTACCCTTTTCAACGTTGAACACCTTTGTGAATTCCGCCATTAACTGAATTCAATTTTGCGATTGACAATAATAATCAATCAATAGAAAAACATAAAAATACTAGCTCAATGGAGTGCTTGTAATTATCGTTTTCAACGTTGAATTCTGCCATTAACTCAATTGAATTCTGTTATTGACAATAATAATAAATCAATAGCTAAAATAATAATAATACTACTAAAATCTAAAATAATAATAATTAAATAATATTAATAAATAATTTTCATTTTTCTCATCTCAGACATTAGTGTCAAATCGTGAATCGAATCGTGAATCATTTTGCTACAATAATGAATCGTGAATCGCATGATTCACCTTATTTGCGTCCGATCGCTATTGTTAAATAAAGTGAATCATACGATTCATCATTCATTATTTTAGCAAAAGAATTCAGGATTCGATTTAATATTTGACAATAATGCATGAGATGAGAAAAAAGAAAGTTATTTATTAATAGTATTTAATTATTATTATTTTAGTTATTATTATTTTAGTTATTGCTTTATTATTATTTTAGCTATTGATTTATTATTATTGTCAATGATCGAATTCAATTGAGTTAATAGCAAAATTCAACGTTGAGAAGGATAATTACAAGCACTCCATTGAGTTAGTATTTTTATGTTTTTGTATTGATAGATTATTAATGTCAATAGCAGAATTGAATTCAGTTAATGGCGAAATTCACAAAGAAGTTCAATGTTGAGAGGGGTAGTGGAGCGTACATGGACTTCATTGAGGACTTGCGCGTTGAATTAGGAGAGACCTTTTCACACAATATTCTCGTACTTCCTGTTCAGCAGAATCCACTCACTTGATGGTTCAACATCATACTGCGAACCAACAACCATTGGATCAGACTGAGGATTCGACGGGACAACCTCTACTTGGACGCCTACCAAATAGAGTTTTTGAGAAGTGGTTGGAGTTCGGGCGTACTTTTTCTACTTTTCCATATCTAATTCCCGAATCTACTTTCTTGGGTTAGGATGATGGCTACAATGCCTTGGAACGTGTTTCCGGACATGGTATGAATAACACAGCCGCTGGCCCGACTGCACTCACTAATGCCGTAAATGATCTGGCTACCTCTATGATCTCCTTCATAGATCGCGCGAGGTCAATGATCATCGTGATTCAAATGATCTGCGAATCGATGAGATTCACTCGTATCTCCAATCTTCTCGCTGCCACATTCAGTAGCAGTAGTTCTTCGCCTCCCCCTTATTGAACGTGGGCACTAGTATGTGGCTGGAGAGTTACCACATTCCTGCGAGCCGATGTTAATCCCAATAATTTATTCCGACTTCCGCAACCCAATGATAAAAGTATTGTGTTCGCTTTGGACGTGGTTGGCGTACTTGGCATCCTGCTCCGGAGCGTTCGCGTATCATAATCATCAAACCCTTAGGGTTTAGGATTTCAAGGTTTGGGGTTTAGTTTAGGGGTTAGGGATTTAGGGTTTGGGTGTTGGGGTTTGGGTTGAGGGTCGGGGGTTTAGGGGGTTAGGGTAGGTTTTATGGTTTAGGGGTTAGGGTAGGTTTTAGGGTTTGGTGTCTAGTGTTAGGGTTTGGGGTTTCAGGGTTCGGGATTTGGGGGTTTAGGTTTGGGGTTTTCGTGTTTAGGGTTTAGCGTTTCGGAGTTTAGGGGTTAGCGGTTAGGGTTTCGGGTTAGGTGTTAGGGGTTAGTTTTTAGGGTTTAGGGGTTTAGGTTGGGGATTGCAGTTCGAGTTGGGGGTTTCGGGTTTGGTTTCGGGGTATGGGTCAGGGTTGGGGTTTGGGTTTAGGGGTTAGGGTTAAGGGTTTAGGATTTTGCATTTTTGGTTATGGATTTTGGGTTTTAAGGGGGTTTAGGGTTCTTAAGGGTTAGAATTTAGGGTTTAGGATTAGGATTTGCGATGGTTTGGAGTTTTGGGTTTCGGGTTTAAGGGTTTTGAAATCCCAAATCCTAAACGCCTAACCCCTAAAACCCTAAAACACTAACCCCTAAAACCCCAACCCCAATACCAAACCCTTAACTCCTAACCCCTAAGCCTAAACCCTAACCCCCAGGCCCTAAACCCCTGACCTTAGACCCTATAACCTAGACCCCCGACCCTAGTCCCTAGACCCTAAACCCTAATAGACCTTAAATCCTATTAGACCCTAGACCCTAGATGTAACGCCCCAAATTTCTAGCCTAAATGATAATACAACAATCATGGCTCTTTCAAGAAAAGTCGAATACAAATCTCCAAACATACATTACATGATACAATAGTTCTTCATGCAACAATATATTAATCCAACAATAAGTAAGTAAACAAACAAATAAATACTCCCAAGGGTTTACAAGTTTCCAAGGCTTGAGCTTAGTTACACAAAATGGTTATTCAAACCCACACACATACAGCCTTTGGCTTACACACAAAGTCACAGCAAAATGAGAGTCTCGTGCTCTTAACACACATTTCTTCGCCTTTAGTTAGGCGGCATCACCACTGTGGGAGCCGAATATCAGTACATGCAGGGAAGCCGAATAATTCTGACCATAATCAGGATATATATTATATTTTGCTCCGTCCTGTATGATCCCAAAGCCGAATGCACTAATCGGCCATAGAACTAGCTGAACAGAAGGCCGAGTGGGAATTAGCATATGACAAAAGGGCCGAATGAGCAATCAAGCGATGGATTAAGAGTGGGTCCGACCCTAGGGCCCAAGAGCGAATATAAATAGAGGAACATCAACCAAAGAAAGGAATGTGAGAACAAACCCAAATACTTAAGACTCAAGTAAATAAGAGACCTATACTAACTTGTCTGTCGGAGTGCTAATTCTGGCACCCCCGACCGGAGTGTTAATCCCTTTTTCAAGTGGCAATTAGAGGATCAGGGACGCCCATCAGGATCCAAGAGTATTTCCAAACCTACTTTCCCACAATTGGCGCCATCTGTGAGAACACTCAAGCATATTCGTGGCGAGCGTCACAGAAGATCCTCCGATAGTCGTTGACGAAACTACACCGAGAGACGACCTCACTCCAAGAAACATGCTGGGACCAGAGAATATTGCCGCGCGACGTGCCTTGAACTTTGATTTAGTAACTCAGACCTCACCCTCAACTTCAATGCATGAGACAATGCAGACGATTATGGATCAAGCAAAGCAAAATGAACAGCGGCTGGAGAACATGATGGTTGAGAATGAACGCTTGCGCCAGGTTTTGGCCTTGGAGGTGGTGAAATCCCAACAAGCTGCATGCCAAGACCGAGTTCGACTTTCAAGAAAGGACGTTCGCCGACGTCGACTTCAAAAATGCAATAATGGCAGTGATTCTGACTCACCATCCTTGGTGCCCAGTAAGAAAGGGCGCGTTGATGTGTCTAGCTCATCTGAAGGAAGTTGATATGCACGGCATAAACGAGGAAGAAGCGATGATTCGAATGAGAAAGATAAACACAACCCATTCGTGCGACAAATTGTACGGGCTGTGCTACCCAAAAAGTTCAAGGCACTGCCGTTCACCCTCTGACGAAAAATCAGACCCCACTGATCACATTCGCCATTACAAGCAAGCGATGACGCTCCACGCTGACGACGAAGCCCTCATGTGTTGAATATTTCCAAGCAGTCTGGGACCACTGGCCGTGAGGTGGTATTATAAACTGGAGCTGGCATCGATTAAGAGCTTCCATCAACTCCAAAAGTCATTCAGGGCGAGATTCATCACTAATGAGGTCCAGCCGAAGCAAGTTGATTCTCTCTGGGCCATGCAAATTAGACTGGAAGAAACTCTTCGTGAATACTCGGCCCGCTATTGGGAGTGCTTTAATCTGGGTGATGATGCTTGCAATGATTCCATGACCATTACTGCCTTCAAGATGGGATTGCATCTTGATAGCCCCCTCCGTAATTCATTAACCAGGCGGCCCGCCAAAATCGTCTAGGCGTTAATGAAGAATGTCGAAAAATACTGAAAAGTGGAAGACGATGCCCTGCGAATCAAGGCCGGACATAAAGTCGTTGAGACGGCCACGTCGGAAATTGTTTAGCCGATTAGCACTGTGCCATCAAGAAGCCGCGAGCGGCGGAGCCAGCCTAAACGAGACAAAAGGCGTGACTTGCACCGATCAAATGACTAATGTTCACATCGAACTAATGAACAGTATCAAGTGGATAGCAGGCGCTCAGGCAAGAAATACACGAAGTTAACAGAGCCGATCAATAAGATTTTGTCGAAGGTACAACACCTTCCGTAATTAAAGTGACCGCCTAAGATAACGGGACCACTTGACGCAAGAAGACAGGATAAACGGTGTGAGTATCATAAAGATCACGGTCACAACATCGATAGTTGTTATTTATTAAAAGATCACCTTGAAGATTTGGTGCAAGACGGCCGTCTTACGCAATACGTCCGAAAGAACAATTCAACAAATACAGTAGCTCTGCGGTCGGAGTCACCTCCTCTTGGTGTAATTTATATGATATACAACTTGCCAGCGCCACTCAAGGTGCACACGATCCAGTTACCGTCTAGCACCCATAGCCCAATAACGCCACCGAAACGGCCACACGACACTGGAAGGATTAGTTTCGATGATAGTGATTTAGTTAAAGTGACCCACCCCCACACTGATCCCCTCATCATCGAGTGTGTTCTCGTTGACTAGGGCAACACTTCAGAAATAATGTACTACAAAACTTTTGTCAAACTTGGCTTTGTAGATTCGGACCTGTCTCTGGCTGATTACCTGTTATTCGACTTCAATGCTAACCTGGAGTATCCTTTGGGCAAAATTACGCTACTGATACGGGTTGGCACCAGATCAGTAGACGTAGAATCTCTAGTTGTCAAGCTTCTTTCGCCGTATAATCTCATCATGGGCCGAATTTGGTTACATATGATGCAAGCCGTGCGAAGCACCTACCACCAACTACTTCGTTTTCCGACTGAATACAGTATCGAACAAATTCGTGGCTCTCAGAAATCGGCGTAGGCATGCTATCTTCTAGCT